GTTATAGCCTCTAACTCAACACTATAAGCTTTTGGTTTGAAAATACCATTTATAGCTTGTGTGATCATACGAGGAGCAGGCTGTGGAAGAAGAACAAGTTGAAGAAGATTGACTATTAGAGGAAGAAATACCAACTAAACTAGCAGACTATATCTCAAGGGTAAGAGAATGTAGAGAATTAAGAACAGAATTATCACTGTTTATGGTAGCATTAAAAGCAACTGTGGGTAACCTGCAAGCATTATCATCTATAGATATAGTATTGTTAGTAGCATTGTACTGACTTGACAAAGGAAGGATAGGAGGAGATGGATTGCAAATGATAGGGGAAGCAATGGAATTTTGGACAGATATAGAAGACATAGAATTATTAGACTTAGAATAAGGGAACTCATATTCATTGAAAATAACATCTCTTGAAATATACAGCTTTCTTTCCTTAGGATCCTAGCACCTATAGCCTTTGTGAAAAGTACTGTATTCAATAAAAATACAAGGAACTGGATAAAAATGCATTTTATTTTTGTTATAAGGCCGAGCATATGGGAAACGGTTGCATCCAAAAGTTTTGAGATGCTGAAAACTAAGAACTTGCCTAAACAGTCTGAAGAATAGGGAATCACCATTAAAGGTGCACTATTAAATAGATAGACACCAGTACTAAATGCATCAAGCTAAAAATGAAACGGAAGAGAAGCATTGGCTAGAAGAGTCAACCCTGTTTCAGCAATAATGTGATGCTTTCTCTCAGCAAGACCATTTTGCTCATGTATGTAAAGACAATTGAGATATTGAATGATGCCATGATCTTTGAGAAACTTGCCTATTTTAAGATACTTAGCACCATTATCAGACAGGAACATTTTGATTTTAAAATCAAGTTGAAATTTTATTAACTTTTTGAATTCAAGAAATACATCATATACATCAGACTTTTTCTTCAATGGATAAAACCATGTAAATCTGGAGAAGACATCGGTAAAATACACATAATAGATATGACCATCAAGAGAAGAATATGGTGCAGGTCCCCAGATATCCGAATAAATAAGTTCAAGAGGATGAGAATACTGAGTTTGAGACAAGGAGTAAGGTAGTTTATGTACTTTACCAAGACAATAGGAATTGCAAAAATCAAAGACAGATTCCTTATTATTGACTGAAAGATTACAAGATTTCATAACAAGGGAAATAGTAGAAGATGAAGGATGACCTAACCTGTTATGCTAAAGGCTAAAATTAGAATTAGGTATATTACACTAAGAAATATTACTAGAATTTGAAATAGAGGAAACTAAATTATAAGCAAATTGTTGAGAAAACTTCTGAGAAGACAAGGAAGAGGATGATAGATTTTGTGTAACAGAAGGCTGAACAAACAAAGAGATTCCATGAAGATCGAACTGATTTCATTTGAGACAACCCTTCAAGACAACTTGATTAGTGTGAAGATCCTTGACAACACAGATATTGGAAAAGAAAGTAATCAGAACATCATTGTCTAAATAAAGTTTGGAAATCCTAAGAAGATTTTTAGCAATTTTAGGAACATGCAAAATATCTTTGAGCTTAAGTGTGTACTGAGAATGAGGAATTTGACAATTGGAATTACTAATACAATGAACTAACAATCCCTGACCATCACCAACAAAGATTTTATTAATAGAAGTGTCACCTGCTTTATGAACAATGTTGCACTCGTCATTTATAACGTGACTAGTTGCACCAAAGTCCAGATACCAATCTGGATCAACAACACATTCAACAGTAGCAGTTAACACAAGCTACTCTTTCTTTGAGTTATTCTTGTCTCTTATAGAAAGGCTTGGAATAGATTCATCATAGTGGTGCCAACAATCACTAGCTAGATGACCTCTCTTTTCACAAAGTTGACAAAAATCAAGCATAGTGTTCTGAAAGTGGGATTGATTGTCTAATCTATTAGAGATGTATGAATGGCCTTGACCACGATGAAACTTGCCTCCTCCATGTGATTAGCCTCCTCCTCTATTGAAGGACTTAGTCTAAATAAGATTAGCAAATGCTATGGTAACCTTGACATTTTTGTCAATTCTTGCTTCTTGAGTGAGCAACAGAGATTCAATTTGATCAACAGAATAAGGTTCAATTTGACTACTAATAGCAGTAATAAAAGGATCATATTCTTCAAGAAAACCTTCAAAAATGTGTTCAATATGACCTAATTCAAAGATTGAATATCCTATACTAGTAAGCGAATCAATAATGCCATTGATCTTAAGCAAATATTCATTTATAGTTGAACTACCTTTTTTGGTATTCTTGAGTTGAGATTTGAGTTGACGAACTTTCGCACGAGTTTGAGAAGCAAAATGTGTGAGAATCTTCTCCCAAATCTGAAGCGAAGTTTCACATCTGATGACTCTTGTGAGCATTCCGTCAGATATGGAGCAAGACATCTAGGAAGCCAATAACTGATCCTGCTTCTCCTAGTCTAAATATTCTGAATTAAGTCAGAAGCCTTCATTATCAATATTACTTTCAAGATATTTCACCGGTGGCTTGACAGATTTGTTAATAAATTTCTACAGATCGTGGCCTCAAATTACAGAGAAAATTTAATGTTTCCAAATGAGAAAGTTAGTCTCATCAACCTTAACAGAGACAACATGAGAGAAAGTGAAAACATCTCTTCGAATGGATGACGGAGGAACTGTGTTTGACATTTCTGATAAGGATGACATGGCTCAGGATCAAAAACACTCTGATACCATATGAAGAGAGAGAGAGAGAGAGAGAGAATATGATGAGTTTTCTTATCATCGAAGAGTACACAGACATATATACACATGTGTGGTTAAGCATAATTGAGTTTAGTTAAGTTAACTAACTCAGTTGTAACTATCTACTTAATTACACTATTACCTAGTGCCTTGGGATAGATTATGAACTCTTAGAGTGTGTTTAGATTAAAAAATTTACAATTGAGGTTAAAATTATATGAGGTTCGCAAACTGAAGTTAGGATTAAAGTTAATTTGTAATAATTGTAATGCAATTTGTTTAATAATTTGATTCCAAAAATAAGTTTAGTCATCAATAAACATTAATAAGCTAAAATCGACCTCTAAACCAATTTTTATTATTAAAATTTTACTTTTTATTTCATAAATTCGCACCTAAAATACCGAAAAATTGGAAATAGAGTCTCAAGCTTAGAATCATCATCCTATAATCATAATAATCCATTTCTTATCCCAAATAATCATCTAAACCTCAATAAATTAACATATATTTACGGATTTAATAAAAATCTAGCCGAGGGCTTGATCCATAAGCCTCAAATTCCAAACTCATTAACAAATTTATACTCTAGAACATTTATTATACCACTAACAACCTCAACAATCACATTTATTCAATATAAATCCATCCCTCTTTTAAACCATAGATTTTTTACCACAAAATTAGAAACCAAAGAGGAAGGATGGCTAAGAAAAATTTTTAGAACACTTACTTAATTTTGAAAAACTTGAAATTACACTCTAAATATCCTATTAAAAACTCTTACCTTTAAAACTCAGATCTCCCGCACCGGCGACTCGCGTTCTCTCTGTCTCTGCTCACACATAGGTAAAAGGAGTGAACAGACGAAGGAAAAGGGGTGTGAGTTTTTGGAAAAAATATTGTGGGACCCACCCCCTTTTTTCTTTCCTTTCCTTTGTTTATATATATATATATACATGTACATCATACTGCGCACGGGGAAAATGTTCGCCCCCCACCTTTATTCTTTTTTTTTTATTTTTTTATTCCCTATACACACACTCATATATATATATATATATATATATATTTCATTTCTCAATCTCTCTCTCTATTATATTTTTCTTTCTTCTTTCCTAATAGTAGTAGTAGTAGTAGTAGTAATAATAATAATAATAATAATAATAATAATAATAATAATAATAATAATAATAATAAATTTTAAAATCTTAACTTAGAATTATATCCTAAATTAGATCTAATAATCATCTCCTACTAATTTACTTACCTCTAAATATTCTCCAAAATTTCTATTAATTCAAATTAACTATTAAAAATTTAAATTGAGATGTTATATTAATAATACTATTTGATGTATTATAAATAGTAATGAGTAATTATATTAAAATAGGGTAAAAGAGCAAAGTAACTCCTAAACTATAGATCCAAGAGTGTTTAGGACTCTAAATTTATTTTTAATTATTTTCTTTTAATTTTTAAAAATGGTACAATTTTGCCCTTAGTTACTATTAACAAAAGTTAACTTTAATTGTTAGTTGATTAGAAAATAACAAAAAATAACCTTAAAAATTACATAAAATGACCAAAACATTACATTAAAGGACCAAAATAATTATAGGCAAGCATAAAAAAAACACAAAAAAGGACAATGAAAATTTTATTGATAACTTTTTGTAATTTTTTATATCCTTTCTAGTCGGGGCTAGATTGTATTATTTTAAAGTAGAAAAGGAACATTGCACAAAAAATGAGTTTAGAGTCCCAAATGTTTTTATATTTATAAAATATTATTTTATATTTTGTATATAGTTATATACTTTTATTGAATAATAAATTTAGTTTTTTAAATTATTTTATTATAAATATATTAATTATTTAATAAGAATAAATAATAAATTAATTTTTGTTATTTTTATTATTACCCTAGTGCTCCCATGTGGAAGCGCTCTAGAAGGTTCTACCTAAAATTAATTTTATTTCAAGTCTTCCAGAGCGCTTTCAACTGGAAGCGCTTTGGAAGATAGACCATAGCGAAGCACTTATTTCTTTGTGGTCGAACCAAGTTTGAGGTTGGTTTGAAATTGTAACAGTTCTCTTATTTCCACCAACCAACTTCCTTTGCGTGTTTAATTTGTTTCTATTTCATTTTTTTTATTTAAATTGTTTAACTTATATTATCCTCTTATATATATATGCTGTTCATGTAACTTAAAGAAACATTGTTCAAAGCGAAGATTTATAAAAGTAGATCTTTATTTAAAGAGATATCCATTACATGCATGGTTGTAGTCAAACATGCATATAGATCGCAGTCTCGCACACATACTCGCATGCAAGCCTGGGCATAGCTATAGTACATCCCATCTTACATAGATTCGGCCAAGACACTATGGAATCTCTTCGAGGCAGCATAATGGCATTCACATTCACAAACTTTTGAGCCTAAAGCATCCTTAATCTTACCACTATAGCCTGTTTGCTTATCATAGTACCTATCCCAGAGCATCACTCCGCCAAAGTTGGAAGATTCCATCACGGTCGGAAGAACGTTGGACTTGAGATCTTCTGGTGATATGTAACCATAGGATGCTACAGATTTATCACTTGACGATACTAAGCCCAAGAACACAGAAGTATGATCAGCTACACCTTCCTTACTCGTCCATCCCTTCCACGAATCAAGAAGCTTTGTGAAGTCACCGTCTCCGAAATGTAAGCATGTGGCGTATTGGCCATAGTATAAAACAAGGAGATAATCTACATGACCAGTAGCGAGTGCGCTGTCGAAGCCAGTAAAATCGCAAAGTGGAGCTGCAGATATGTAAATCTTACTGTTTTGGGTGGAATAACCATAGATTGCCTCCACAAGTTCGGCCCATGGCTCAGAGCTGTAATCAAGATGTGCAAGATCGGTGCCATTTAAGGTCACTGCTCCGAGAGGGCCGTCTTGGCCACTAAGAAAGTTATTGTAAAGATACTCTGCTAAGGATTTGGGGTCATCGATTTGGTCTACTTCGACGGAAAGCAAGACTTGGATGCCTTTACTTTGACAGTGTTGAATTTGTGATGCTAGGGCTTTGCATTGTTCGTTAGAACAATGGTTACCGAAAACTATGCTTCTTGAGCTGCCTGACACGTGGAGGTATGCTAGAGCGACGATGTTGTAGAGATCAGAATCACATGCTTCTGTTAAGGTGCCTTCAATCGATGCATCGTTTTGTCCCCAGTAGATGGCGATTTTGCCACCAGGGATATTTGAGGGACAATATTCATCGGCATGGGAGGGCTTGAAGATGGAGGACATTGTGAGGAGAGAGAGAAGGAGAATGAGAACGAGAACTTGGTTTTTGGAAGCCATGATCGGTGGTGGGAGGGTAAGATGGTGGTTTTCTTGTTTGTTTGGGTTGGTGTGTTCATGTGCTGTGGATGGTGCCAATTTATAAAGATGGGGCATGGGAAGGCCAAAGTGCCAAAATCAATTTCATAGAAAATTGTGACAAGTAATAATAATTATTAATTATAACAACACGGGAACTTGATAAATGAAAAAAAAATAATAAAAAAAAATATAAAAACTCAAGTAAATCTCATCTTCTATGAGGTTAAAGCAACAAATTATTATTACTATTATTATTATTTTTTTATACGGGTATCTAACTGAATCAAATTCAATTTAGAGTAGCTCTCTTACTTATATGGACATATCCCCTTCCACAAGTGTTGACAATTAATGAAAAATTAATAATAATTAATTATAATACAACTATATCATGGGCAGTTGATGAATAAAAAAACATCAACAAAATAATACAAAAACTCTAATAAATCTCATCTCTAGTTCAAAGTGACAAGAATTCTATTTTTTTTTTTAAATATGGCCCAATTAGGTTAATTAGCTCTCTCAAGGGTGTTTTTTACATTCATATGAACTTAAACTCAATACCTCTTCCTTACATAGTCATAGCTCTTTTCACTAGCGGAACAACACCTATTGATTAAGAATTCTATTTTTTATTATGATACTTGTTAATAATTTTATTGTAAATATTATCCATTGTATTTATCTTTTTGCACATCATGTCGCTGCGATTAGAGGCAAGTACTCCAATAACATGAACTTATGAGGGTTTTTTTGGAGGCTATTAACATGAATTTGTGAATGGAAAATTGAATTCCTTTACTTTAACTTGCCAAAAGGAAAAGGACCAAAAAGTAGGAAGCAACTTTTCCAGGGAAAAGTGATGGATTAGAGAGGAAACATTATTTCTTCTGTAAATGAATAAATAATTTTCTCCTCCGTCCTTCACTAAATGTTTTACCCGCGCGATCGCCCCTATGGGTCTGCTCTCTTTTGATAATTAATTGTTATGATTCGTCAGAATATTAATTATAAATTATTGATGGTTATTGATAATAGAACAACCCTCCGTGCATTGAAAAGGGGGTTTGGAATTTTTTTTTTCAAACGGTAAAAAAAAAAAAATAGGACATCTACCAGAAAGGATTAGCTGTGATATTTATTGATAAGAAAATGATAATAATGTTAGAAGAATTGGTAGAGTAATGATTTGCATTCAAGAGATGTAAAGTTTAAATCCTAAATAAGAAAAGAAATATTAAATTTTATCTATTTTATATTTACATAATAATTCTTAATAGATGCCTATTCATATTAAAAAACAATATTTTAAAATTACTGTAATGTAATAGATTGGCATGAAAACTGTTCTCTATTATCATATTATATGGCAATAGAGTAAACAAACTATTATCATAAGCTTTTGGTTATGCTACTTTAGACAATGGTTCAAAAATGTTGCACTACATATAAATTTAGAATATTATGTCCTTCTAAGTGAATAGTTAAATAATAAAAATATCTTTTTTTATAAAAAAAATTCTTTACCTAATATATATGACAGACTTCATTGTCGGATTCCTTCAAATTTATCGACTCAATATGATCACGAGACGGTCGATCTTGGTCCCCTGACATTGACAAGTGGCTGGAGCATGGTCTTAGAATCATTAAACCACAAAACTTCACATTTAACACGAAACAAAGGAAAATTAAAAGAAACAACCCAATATTTCACTTTCAACCATTTTAATTTGGTCCCCTACCATAAAAAACAAAAAAGAAAAATTGGTCCCCTACCTCGTTGCTGCTAGCACGGTCCCAGAATCAGTGGCTTCAAATATTCAACTTTAACACGTGTCACAATTAAAGCAATCTACCTCATCATTCATTCATAGATTCTTTGGTCCCGTGCATCGGAGAAGGAGCCAAAGCACGTCTGAACAAATCACACCCCACACTAGCAGTCTAGCCGCTCGGGGCCGGTTATAAACCCTTACTCTGCTGTAACAACCATATAGCCCATTAAGATACTTTGGCCCAAAAATATAGCCCATTAAGATAAAGGGCTCATTCATTACACACTACTACCAAAAAAAGGCCTCTAGGAATATGCTTCGAAAGTGCTTCAAATGTAGATATTTCCTAAAGTTCTCCAAAGGTGGGCCCACGACAAGGGCACTTCTACCCAAAAGTGCTCCCATGGATCCATCAACCGGCACTGCTGTAGCCTGTAGGTAAATATCTACAACAGTGCTCCCATAACTTTTTTTTTTTTTAACATATTTATGTTTATTTACAATACTTCATGTTTCATAAATTTATTTGCAATATTTTAAAAGCAAACACAACAATCACAATAAGAAGTGTAACTTATCCTAATAGGCAGGGTCAGCTATATGAATTGAATAATACCATTGTACTCTATCATTAATCAATTCTCTAACCCTCTTTATAAGATTCAAAACTATTTGTTCCACTCTTCTCATAATGTCAATATAGTGTTAATCATTTAGAATAGAAATGTGATCAACAACTCAATGTCAATTAGTACAGTTAAAGCAAGAAAAAATCAATGTTTGACTCATATATTGTTACATATTACCCCTTTCTAATTGTAGAACCAATACTAGTACATTACACATGATTTGAATTATGTCTCACTTCACTTGAACAAAGTTGGTAGCATAACAACTTAAAATTGCCATACCCCAAGCCTTATTCCTTCTCTTTATAATAAAATTTTAGTAATAAAAACAAGTAACCATTTAATATGAAGTGGTTTTTATAAATTTTTATTTATTTTTATTACTAAAATTTTACACGTCAAAAGCTTATATAAACTTTTTATTTTGCTAAAATTTTCTCATCAAGTTACCAAGAGAAATTTTCAAAGCTAGTAACAAGACTTCTTGTTTCACAAATGGTTACTTGTTGAATTATCAATGGGGATTTATTAAAAAAATTTAATATGAAGTAGTTTTTATAAATGTTTAGTTGTTTTTTATTACTAAAAATTTAAATGTCAAAAGTTTATATGAACTTGTTATTTTGTTAACTTTTCTTATGAAGTTATCAAGAGAAATTTTCAAAGATAGTAATAAAGCTTGTCATTTTACAAGTGGTTACTTATTAAATTAATAATAGAGACTTGTTAAAGAAATTTAATATATTGAGTTTTTTTTATAAATGTTTACCTATTTTTATTACTAAAATTTTACATATCAAAAGCTTATATGAATTTGTTATTTTGCTATAATTTTCTTTTCAAGTTACCAAGATAAATTTTCAACGTTAGTAACGAGACTTGTTATTTTACAAATGATTACTTATTAAACTATCAATGGGGACTTGTTAAAAAAATTTAATATGGAGTATTTTTTTTAATAAATGTTTACTTGTTTTTATTACTAAAAGCTTACATGTCAAAAGCTTATATGAACTTGTTATTTTACTAAAATTTACTTATTAAATTATGAAAAGAAATTTTCAAAGATAGTAACGAGACTTGTCATCTCACAAATGGTTATTTGTTAAATTGCTAATGGAAACTTATCATTCCTGGTAATAAAAATAAGTAAGCATTTATAAAAATTATTGCGTATTAATAACAAGTTCCATTAGTAGTTTAATAAGTATTCATTTGTAAAATGACAAGTAATTATTGAGCTCTTAGTAAATATTGGCATAGAAAATGAAAACAAAGTTAAGTATATATATATATATATATATAAATTTACATTATATAATTGAAAGAATTTGTTAATCTAGTGGCTAATAATTCTTTTGGTGGCCAAGAGGATGTGGGTTCAAATCCCACCTTGGCTACCTTAAAGGCAAAATAATTTACCTCCCTCGCCGGTCTGGTGACCAGTGCTAGAGCTCTAACAGCGATCCAGTCACTGCTACCGGAGCTTAAATGGCCAATTTAGTGGGGTGGCTGACCACCAAAGCAGAAGCTTTAATAGTTGGTGGTTGAGGAGTTTAAAAAAAAAATTAAGGGCAATTTTGTCATTTCACACAAAAAATTAATTATGTTTTAGTCCTTTAGTTATGCAGCATAATTTCAAAATCATTTGGTCCTTGTCTATAAATAAAATCCTCTAGTGGTCCTTAGCTGTGATTTTCCCTTATAATTATACATACACACACACACACACACACACACACACACACACACACATATATATATATATAATTAGTTATTGATATTTTAACTCAATCTCTAGTTAATTAACGCTTATGAAATATGAGTTTATCTCATATTTCATGCTGATCATACTCTTAGTACCAAATGTGACACTCCAACACGCAACCGTATAGGTACTAAAGAGAGGAATTCTCTAACATTGCACCCCTTAGGCATTAAGGAGGATACATCACTGCTATATAGACTTTCACACTACTTCACCTAAGGTGAACTTCCATTCTCTATCATGATCATGTCTTTCACATAAGATACAATCATATATCCACATATGTATAAAATAGTTCATTTATCATTTAGCTTTTAAAAATACTTTATTTAGTAATTTACTTTATAAGTTAAATCCCTTTCCCATTCAAAATCATGCCAATTTCAAATCATGTCAAAGGACAATATCATACATCACATTACTCAAATTTACTTATTAACAGTTAAACTAGTTAATAAACAAAATGATTATTTGGTTACCTCAATCCTTCTATTTCTAAAAAGAGTTACTTATGGTACACTTTATATTGTTAGCTATCAACTACCCAAAATAACTCATGAGCTACGTTAATCTAAACAGTTTAGCATTATAAGTCAATTACCAAATTAACCAAAAATAATAATTAACACAATTAAATTAAATTAAGCTCACTTTAACACCTAATCACTTCCAATTAACAATCTTAAGTTCTATTCATCTTCCCCACACATCTTATAACTTCCATTAACCTTCCTATATTCCAAATAAGAATTTTCACCATTTTAAACTTCCTAATTTAGATTAAATTGAACCTACAACTCCAAAGCTCAACCATTAATGATGAACTAGTAGTAAAATCTTAA